TCACCTGGAGGAAGTCAGTAATGGAAATGATGTTGGATTTACCATGAGCCTTGCAAACATGGATCTGCATTTCAGGAAACCAGCATACACTGGTGGAAGGTTCTGAACAACAACAGGACCTAGATTGAAACAGAGATATTTTTACAATCCCAAATGGCAGGGACAGTCTCCTGAAGGCAAGTCATTGGTTTTAGACTTTATTAGACCCTTACTTTAATTACCACCTCATTACTTGCTTTGCTTCCACAAAAAGTATTCCATACTGTCATTTTTCCCTAAGTAACTGGAAATGTGATTGAAAGGGATGTTTAAAGTGAGACTAATTCAAGATTAAATAGTCACAAATTATATTATTGCTACATGTAAACAAATTACTTGCATATCTGATTTTATTCAGATTACTTTTCAAGTGGTAAATAATGCTTTATCACTTATATAGTGCTCTTACATCTTTAGAGTGCTTTTCTCACATTAATTAATCATCATTAAACACTCTGAGGTGGGTAGGTTAATACTATTATCCCCATTTTGCAGATGAAGAAATGTAGACTGAGAGGTTGTGATTTGCTCAAGGCCATATAGAAGAAGCAGAATCAGAGCTGGGATTAGATCTGTGTCCCTAGCTTCTAATTTCAGAAGACCAGCCAGATTGTCAGCCAGAGTTTTGAAGTAAAGTGCTCAAATGTGCATGTAGAACTAGCAGATATTTGCTTGGCCTAACTTGCAACTTGTTTAAAGGGAAACTTTGCTTTTGTGCCGTGCTTCACATTTCCACCTTCACACTTGCAAGTGTGGAAATGGCCTCTCATTCATTTAGGACCTCTTCATCATCTGGTGCAACATTTTTATTTTCATCATTTTCATTGAATTTAACTTCCATCATGGAAACTTAAAAGTTTCTACTTCTCTGGGCTTGAACATAACTGCACAACTCACATAGAGCAGCTTTAGCATTGGTGCCCCAGACTGCCTGCAAGTGATACCAGGACCAGCTCTGTTATTTAAAATTTTTCACAAGCTGAGACATAAATAAGGCTCTGACTTGGCAGCTTGTCTTACTGCTGTTCAGAAGGGATGAGAGAGAATTACCCTCTGTATGCTGAACCCAGCACCTTTGTAGGCAGTGCCCAGCTGCTCAGTAGGGAGAAACATTCACTTGATGCCCCCCACCTTGGAGAAGTACCTCAATAAAACAGTGTAGTCTGGGAATGGAGAGCAGAAGAGACCTCTTTGTGCCACCACTTTGTTAATGAGAAGCACCACAGAGAATTATATTCAGCTGTTAGTAATGGGAGCACCTGCAGAGGTAACAGATCAGGAGAAATAAAGTGCAGAAAGGAAGTGCCCTTGTACAGGAGGGTGAAAACCTGCTGGGGTGATGTGGGATAGGTTGGAGACCCATGGCACATACAGGTAAGGATCTGCTTTGTGCTACAGCATCCTTTTCACCTGTGCTCATTGCCAGGGAAACATTGGAAGTGACTGTAGAGCCTGGCTGCTGGGTTAGGAGCTCTGCCTTCCTTGCCAGCCCTGAGCAGAGTCAGTGGTTGTAACTCAGCCTGCAGAATCAGTGCACTGCTTTTTCAAAGTGCAGCTTGCTTGAATTCATGGAGGAGATTTTGAACTCTTTGAATGCAAGATGATGGAGAAGGTGGCATATAAATAGATAGGCAAGGGAGAATGTGATGCAGAGAGAAGGAATTCTTTATCTTTGGACAGCTGATGAAGTCCTGGGCTGGATGATAGGAGCTGCTGGGGGTGATTTGGAGTCCTTAGCCTGCAATCTGCCCTGGGATCACACTGCTGAGGTGGAACTGGGGACACCTGGGACGTGAGCACAGCTCTAAAGCTGATCCTCGTGCTCTGCTTGTGACACCTACAAACGAGGGATTCCCTAAAAGCAGCAGCGCAGGCAGCCCTAGAAATAGCTCAGGCACGTAGCAGTGAGAGCAGAGCAAGCACATAATCTGCTGGAAGGGTTTGGGTTTAATCCAGCAGGAATTTGTGCAGGGATGGCCTCTCCCCTGTCCCCAGGGCTGCTTGTGGAGCTCCCAGGTGTGGTTTGAGTGGGTCAGGGGCTTGAGAAGCACTGAATTTTAACAACTGGCTGTTGGTGAAAAGGAAGGAAACAAGATATTTGCCTGTTTGCTTTCTTTTAAGACTATGGAATATGTTTTCTGACAGTGGATCCTGTTTTAATAACCAGACCCATGATTAGGTAATGTTAAGTCTGCTGCAAGAGTAGTTTAATAAATATTTTAGTATGCAGATAAGCCACTGATAACCATGTGCATTCACACACTCATACATTTTTATGCCTAAAAGGGGAGAATTCAGAGTTTGTTGATACTACTTCCCTATGATGCCTTAAAAGTAAGGCATACTTGGTGGCACTAGCTGTCCAGGTAAATTGAACTCAAGTGGATAAACAAGCAGGTCATTTATTTTATTTACCCTAAAAGGGTTTTTCATTCTTTAATTGTAACTCTAAATATAAATTATGTGTGGAAGATAGACTAATGATTTTCCTGTGTTTGATTAAAGGCAAAGAATCAAAGATTTGTTTATATATTTATCTATTTGTTTCTTTGATAAGACCAGTTGTTATCCAAACAGTGGGACTGGCCTAATAAAGGTCATATGCATAATTGATCTCCATCTGTTTTTCAATATTTATTCTCTCTATTCTTTAATAGACTTCAGTTCCAGAAGTGCAGCCTGCAACATTTTTAAGGTGGTATATTTTAGCACTTCTGTAAAAGGTCTCATTTTATGCTGGCCACTGAAATGACAAGGTTTGTTGTTGGTTCCACCCTTTGGTATCCCTTCAAGAGAGATTATATCAAAGAAGAAGAATTAAATTAAAATTGATTGGTGTTATTGATTTTTCTCTTTTTTTTTTTTTTAAGGGGATAAAGGGTGATGGAAACAGCATATGCCCCTATGCTGTTTTGCTGATGGACTATTTCTTAAAAACATAAAAAGCATATGTGCCCAATTTACATATTTACTAATTAAAAAAGCTTCCTGGAAACATTAAGTAGACTATCTTCTGCAACCTTTAACATTGTGGCTAATGGATATAGCCTGGAAATTTTCATAGAAGGTCCTCTAAATAATGTAAATGATTATGAATATGTAACTAGTTAATATGCAGCTACGAAAGGATTATCATGTAGAGGTTAATGAACATGCTGCTCTTATGGTTTGCAGGGCTTTTCTTTTTGTGCTTTCAGCTCACTTCATGCATGGAAAGTCATGTATTGGGAATGGAAAGCTTCCTGTCTTTTCCATCTTCATCTGTAATGGGGCAATTAAATGGAAACTTTCTTAAAGGATTTCATAAACATTTTTGTATGCTGAATTGTGTTGTGTACTTCACAACCACTGCCAAATGTGAAAGGATGAAGGATGTGGATAGAATAGGCTTGGACTCCTCAACTTGTTAGCGAGGGGCTCTGGTGTGCCTTGGCTTTGTTAACAGACAATTTGTCTTCTGCAGAAACTTTACTCTTAAAATGGGCTTCATATTAACAGTATGAATTAGATTTCTGGCTTGATGTCCTGTACAAGTCTGTGTATTTACTCTCAAGCTTAAAAACAGTTGCCTTGCACATTAAGGAAGATATTTTGCTAGGCATTTGATTTGTAGGAGTTTAAAGCAAATGATAAATTTAAACTTGGCTTATGTGGGATGAGCTACCTGGCTGACTTTCCTGATGGATTATGAAATAACATAACCACAAATGTAAAGCTGATCCTTTTCATTTAAGAACTTTGCTCTGTTTAAAGAATTATTAGCTCACAAAGTAGTCCCATTTTTTTTATTCTTGCATGAGTAGGAAGTGCAGGGTCTGAGATCTGTTGTGCAAAAGCTGCACATATGCTAACTGAAAAAAAAAATGTCTTTCATTCTGTTGTTTGGGAAAAAAAAAAAGAATTATCTGCTCCAGTGATTTCAGTGGTACTTGAATGTATGTTATTGTTTTCTCTGCAAATTTCTCATTAATTGCTTTCGAATGTTAGCATTATTTTGGCTATAGGAAAAACGAAATTTGTAAAAAAAAAATCTAGAAAATGCTTATATTGAGAAGCTGTCTAGACATATTTAACTGCCTCATGGCTTCATTGCATTTCATATAATTGAATGAAATTGTTTGTGTTGTATTTTTGGTAACTATTATTCAGAGATCAGAATATGTTTTGAAAGACAAAATCTCCATGTAATTGTGGCAGAGAAGGTCACAGGTTTCAGCATCCTGCCTCTTTGCTATATATAGTCTAAAAATTGCATTTAAAAAAGATAAAACTATTTAATTTTAACAGCATTAATTAAGACCTTTATTTTGTTAAGAGCTTTATTTTGTAAATTCTTTTGTATCTCTTGGGAAAGCCTGTGGCATAAGGGAGTAAGTGAAATACCTTTTTTGACACCCAGAAAGAAGAGAAGCCAGCAGCCCATCATGGTGTCAAATACCTATGTATTTACACAGCACAAAGTTAATTTGGGCTTTTTCAAGTTAAAGTGGCCAGTGGAGACATTTGTTGATGTACTGATAGAGGAAAAATGTTTTTGGTGCTGTGAGATTCATTTGTTCTGCTTTTTAATGACTGAGTATGGGAGTTACATTGATGTCTTGTTATAATTTATGTTGTTTTCTTATTCTGCAAACATGTAACACTGAAAATAGATCGGCAGATTGCACAAACTGCTACTTATCTCAGATCGTGTGTCACCTAATAGTTATGGAGCAGGTATTGTACCAAAATAAGAAGTGAAAAGCTGTGATTTTTTCCTGTGGTTATCACTCTGCATTAGCCTGTGATAAAGTGTGCTGCTTAAGAACGACCATTCACACGCCTTTGCCCTGACAAATAAAAATGTGGATAGAGGCAGCACCAAATCTGTAAAGCTCCTGTTCTAGTTTCTGATGCATTGACATTGCAGCTGTGTGCTTAGCTTTGTTTTTTTCATGAGTAGTTATCTGTTTTAATGACAGGTGGTCACTGGCTGCCAAGAAAAAATCCAGCACTGGTAAGTAAAAAAAGTCTACATGTCTAAAATACTGATGAGTAACCTAGTTATGTTTGAGTAAAGTATTGCTGTTTATTCTGATGGGAGTCAAATCCTGCTAGCATGTTTTGGGGATTAGAGTTAGTGATAGCTCAGAATTGTTGCAATGTACTCTCCTTAAAATATATTTATTTCTCACTGATACAATTAAATTACAAATACAGTGAGCCTCAGTGTTTATACTTCTGCCTTAAAAACCTATCTCATCTGTCATTTTTGCCCAAGTAACCTTGTTGGATGAATGCTTAATCTGCCTGAATGGTGACAAGGTGCTCCCAGGGTAGAATTATTGCTGTTTTCTAACTATGGAGCAAGTAGGGAAATTCCACTTGTGCTGAAACAATGTGGAAAGTAATGTTTTACTGATGCTCGCTCCCCAAGTAAAGTACATGCTAAAGCTTAGATTTTAGTACTTTAAATAAATGGTTTGTTATATTAAAAAAATTATCTCTGGGCATTTTTTTCTCTGTTGGCAATCTATGGTTAATAGAAAACATACCTAGTAAATAATAGTTTTGTATGGCATCTGAGGAAAATGTACATTTAATGGTGAATGAAATCTTATATTATGAGTTACTGTGAGATATAACAGTTGATCTTACAGATATCAAATTACAATATATCCATGCTGTGTTTACCATGATTTTACTGAGAGAACAACAGGAGCTGTCTTGATTATTGTCTGCAGGGTTATTGCAGAATCACAGCAACTGCCCCTTTAGTGGTGAGATTAAACCTTTGGTTATACACCATCAAGCATATAATATTTTAAATTTATTTTAAGAGGCTTTTTCTTCATGCCTGAAAGATCTCCAAGCAAATAATTTATATTTAGTGTGTATCAAATGTTTTTAGTTTAAATGCACATAGGCTGCAAGCGCTGGATAAGAGGAAAAAAATCAAGGCAATCTATACACATCATCATATTAAATTCTGACTATTGGCTCGCAAAAATAATCTAAAACTAATATGTTTCATTTATGTTTAAAATTCAGAGGCTGCATTAATTTTCAATAAGGGAAATATTGAAGTGCCTACTGGTGCTGCTGTGGTGAAGGCAGGCAGAATATCTCCAGCACTTTCTCAGGAGCTTTGCAGTGTCTGTGCCTACTGGCTCCCACCTAAATTCTGCATGTGCATTCTTCCACTCAGACAGGGCTTTTCAGAAATAAACTATTTGGCAGAAAGCTGCAAAATTTGAACAGATTTTTGAGTGTTTAGAAAATTGTGACAGTTATTTTCCTTTTTACAAGGGCTGAGGTTTGTGGAGTGGCCTGGGAGTGTTGGTGCTGGAAGGAGGATTTGCTCCTGTGTTTGCTTTTATGCAAACTCTGGCAATGACCCCATGAACTTGGGGGTTTTGGCCACAGACCCTCTAATGAAAAAAATAACTTATTGATTTCTTTTATATAGAAAAGTAGTTTGTATAGCATAGCATCCATACAATCTTTATTTAATAAAAACAATTAAAATTTAGTACTCTTATTTATATCTTGATTGTGCAAGAGCTGAGTGCTCTTGTTTCAACTGAATAATTTGCTCATGTAAGACCTTTTAAGTAGTCAGTGACACAGAAGGATGTTGAATAGAATTGGGTGAATAACAATAGGGTCTTAAAATGCTCAGCTTCAGTATATTTCCATTAAATTATTTTCTTTTCCATTTTTCAGTGCACTTTTTGAAGTATATTTCTAAAGCCATGAGTACAGTAATGGGTTGGGTATGGGATTAATAGCTAGACATGCATTTCCCCTCCCAGGGACATGTTCAGAGCTGGAGTCCCAGTATTCCTCCTCCCTATTCCCTTTGGTTCTTCATTGCCTGTTGTGGCACAGGCACACCCCAGTGCTTGTGAGAGCATCAGCCATACTTGAAGAGAGAGCTTCCTTCTTTAAGTAATGCTGTTTGAGGCCAATTATTTAAAATGATCAATTTAAATTTTCTTGATCTGCATGGCCCAGTTCAGGATGTGACCCCACTTTTAGAGATTGCATGGTGGAGGTTTGCTCAGCAAAGGGCAGCAGTGCCAGTACAGAAAGCAGGATGCTTTGCTTCTAAAGTAGCACAGCTTCTAAAGTAGCACAGCTTCTGTGGCAAGTGATTTCTCCTGGACCTGATCAGATTATTCAGTAACACTCAGCAGTCAGACCTTAGTGTCTTCTTTTCAGGTTAATGAAGAAATCTTGAGTGACTTTCAGCCATGAAATGATGGAAATGTTTAATCCTGCTGTGAGGGGGGAATTTTCATGCCAGGCTCTTCCCACTGAGTCCTCTCCTGCACTTGAGACATGTGCCAGGCCTTGTTTTTCAGTGGCTGCTTGGAGCCCATTTCTCAAATCCAGATCTCTCCAGGCGAAGGCTGGGTTCTGTAAATAGCATTAAGTAATTGATTGTTATTGTTGACACCAAGTTTTCATTATATTCCTTCCTCCCCCAAAATGTCTCAGTGCATTTTTCTTAGATTCATGAGTTTGTCCTTCTTCTTTGAAGGAAGTGAATTATGTTTTCACTCTTATGTGGGCAAGGGACAGAAGGACTTGCCTAAAATGTCTGGGAGGAATCTGCTGTCAGAGCAAAGCAGCAGCAAGCATCTTTTGTAAATCGGTTCTGTGGAATATGGTTTTAATGCCCAAGTGGCATAAAAACCTAAATTCTTTTTTTCAGGATGAGTTCAACAACTTAAAATAGGTATAAAGTAGGGTGGTTACACCAGAGTTCAGCTGTGAAGCAAATGAGTCAAACATAAGAGTATCAGATAATTTTTCAAAATGAATGCTGAAAAAGATTTCACTCTGCTTATGAATCTAAGAAAATCAATAGTAATATTTTGAGAGTTGTGTTATCAACTATGACATTCATTTTTCAGCACATTTATAGATTGCTCTCCTGAATCATCCTCAGAAAACCTGTAATTTGCATCTTGGGTCAGCATTGTTAAGTGTGCTGCTCTTGCTTTCAGTTGCCTTTCATTGCAGAATTTACTACCATATATATGTTTATTGTTTTGAAGTACAAGTAAACAATATCATCAGACCTGACATTTATATGCCAGCTACTTCATGGAGGAGCTGATTTCTGACCATCTTTAGAATGGCAGGGGTCCATTAAAAGACTTTTTCCAGACAAATTTAAGTATTTAAGAATGCCTTTACAGAAAAAGGCTTTTTTGAGGGAGTGTAGTTGCTTGTTTTGCACACAGTAAAATCCCTGCAGCCACTGAAACACTGTTTGTTGCAAAGTCCTGTGGAAAGCCAGGTGTCTGCCATGGGAATGAATTCCTTGTCCCAGTTCACCAAACCATTTTTTCCTGGGTAGCAACATGTAGCATGAGCCTTATTTACAGTTTAGTTAGAGAAGTATCAGAAGGGATTCTTGAAGATGTGGCAGAATCCTGGTGGTTGAGCCATCTTTCAGGAGTGTTTACTCTTGATAGGAATACAAAGTTCATGGGAAAATCAAAATTAATTAAAATTTTGCTCATTTATGTCAGCTCAAACTGAGGTCAGTATATGAGCTCTGTATTACAAATGATAATTTGAAGAATTTGCCTCTTAAAAAGCATAAACTGGATTTTCAGTTCTTTTTCTAAATATTGGTGGTGTTGTAACTTGGGCTTGAACATGGAGTGAGATACTCCAAATCCTAGGGAAAGAACTGCTTTTTGCACCATGAAAAATTCTAATTCTGAACAAGACATGCACAATCTAAAATACTCATTTACCTATCTTAATACACATTATTAGAAAATAATCTAGCTATTATGTTTGTCATCCCATGTCTTTTAGAAATGAGTTATTAATCTGTCAGCTGTATGTGTTAGAGTAAAACAGTTCATTTTTCTATAGTTTTGGTGTGTTTTTGATTTAGTAGCAGAAAACCATTAACTCTTTAGCTGTGAAGTTGAACCAACTTGAATTTGTCAACAGGAAGAAGGTGGAGAGTGATTATGAGGCTCTTCAGGAGCGACTCCAGACATTGCCTGACAAGTTGTCCTACGATGTCATGGTATGTACATGGCAGAGGTCACACAGGAACATGGGCTAAAACTGTTAAACCTGGGCTGCCTGCACTGGGGTGAGGTGTTCCTCAGGTTGCCAGTACTTAGTAATGTTACATTTCTTATGATAATAGTTAAACCTTTGCTTTTGTTTCTTTCTCTTTTCTTTGAAATCCATTATAAATTACAGTGTTACTGACAACTGAAAGCTGATGACATAAATGCTTAACACAAAACCTGACATGTTTGATATGTAAATCTATTGTATAGAAAACGATAATTATGACTGAATTATGGTACTTAGTCATTTCCTGAGAAGCAAGTGGCTGTAGTATTTCCTGATTCATGGAAATAAACCCTAGAACATTGATTTTTACATAAAAAGGTGCTGCTAATTTTTGTTCCACCAATCTTCCCATTGACATAGCAATCTTTTCTGGTGCTCTGAATCTTCCCTAACAACTGCACAGCTCCGTGTGTAAAATTTGCCCTCTTGGCTTGCACTCACTAAAATTTTGAAAAAATTGGCTTCTCTTCCTCTTTTTTTCCTTTTCCTTTCTCAGGTTCAACTCAAGATACATCCTTGAAGACAGGGAAGTTGTACTGCACATAACTGAATGGCTGATTTCAGCACTCAGTGCCTGACTGCTGTCTTCCTTGGCAGCCTGGCTTAGATACAGAATTGGGTTTTTAGTAAGACAGTGTTGGAGTACATTTCACCATGTGGGAAAAGGGAGGCTTTCCCTTTGCTGTGCTGGTGATACAGCTCTGGTTTTTGTGTGTAGTCCATTTTTCATGTGTGTATGTGTGACCACATGATGTTAGACCTAAAGATTGTGTTGTTTCAAAGCACAGAAACTCTGTTTTTAAAGAAAGCTAGATAGTGCTTATTGTTAGTTGAAGCAGCAATGTTAACTCACATCTGTTACTTTGAATGTATAGAAACAGTTCCTATCCTGTTAGCCAAATATTTTCATATGCTTTTAATTTTGCTTAATTTTGCTTTCATCATTTTGGGGGAAGAGTGAACAGGCAGCTCGTGCAATCTGCTACTTTAAAACCAAGTCAGGGAGGGCACACGTGTAGGAAAAGCACATTGTGCATAGCCTTAGAGTCAGGGTCCTGCCTGCTGGAGAACTGTTTCCAGCACTGGGACCCTCCTGGATATGGAAGAGAGAGAGGATTGCTTTCCAAGGATCCACTAGGCCAAGTGCTTGCTCCAGCACAAACACAATGAGAAAGCAAGTGGCTGCGCTGAGGAGGAAGGAATAAAGTAGAGGGAGCTGATACAAACCATCTGAGATAGATTTCTTTTTACCTTAAAAAAGGGAGCCTTGATGTGGATGTGGACTTTATGCCACCTCCATTTTAGGTGTAATTTGATTTTAGTTTCTGAATTTCTTCACAATTGAAGCCCACAGGCAGCCAGGCAGGTGGCAGTGGGCCTGGGGGTCACAATGCCAGGACAGGGACAGGGGACGGGGGTAGGGGTGGCCAAGGCTCCTCCTCACCCAGAGGACTTGCCCAAGCACTGCCCACTGTATAATTTGGGCAGTAGAAGATGCCTTAGGTCATAAACCCACTGTCCTGGATGTTGAAATGCTTGTTAAAATGGGGGATTCATATTTTAGGAAGCAGAGGCAAAGTTCTAAAATGTGATTGTCACCTATGTCCTCCTGCCTGAAGTGTCCTGCTTTTGTCTATTGTCCTTAGCCTGGAGAGCAGTTAGAGGGTGGGAGTTACTTGTGGAGCATCCCTGGGAGGTGGAGGTTTGCAGCATGGAGCATGAGCCAGCAGAGTGAGATTAAACACTCTGTGGTCCTGCTGGGAACCCCAGTGTCTTACACTGGAATTTCTGGGTCCTTACTGTTAGCAAGACAGATTCTGAGAAAAGCAGCTCATCTTTGAGTTGATCATACCTATTTAAATATTTTTTAAAAATTTAGCAAAGCTAATCTGGCTTTTAATAGGAAATGGATGTAGTCTGCAAATAACTCAAATAATTTGTATTATCAGATGAAGTGAATTTGTTTTCCAAGTGAGCATTCAGGTGTATTATAGTTCTATGTCACAAAACAAGCTGTCTGGTGAAATTCAGGTTTTCAGATTTTGTAAGTACAGTACAAAATTCAAATAGATCTGATAATTTGAATATTTATGATGGGTTGTTCACTGAATAGCTGCTGTAGAATTTATATTTTTATAAAATCTGTGGTTTACTTTTTAAAAAAACTTAAGACATGTATGACAGCCTAAGATTTATTTTCATTAGTGATGTCTGTGTCTTTCACAGGTACCTTTTGGTCCTCTTGCCTTCATGCCAGGAAAACTTGTCCACACTAATGAGATCACTGTTCTGCTGGGGGACAACTGGTTTTCCAAATGCTCAGCAAAGCAGGCCATTGAGCTGGTTGAGCACAGGAAAAAACGTATGTATGTTTCTGAACATAATTTAATGGTTAAAATTATGTACCTTGTATTAATATATAAAATTAGTGATATCTGTGCTGTTCTTTTGTTTCTTTTTGTGAGCTCACAAACAGAAGTCCCATTCAGGTGTAATATTAGCTTAGCACCTTATCTTCCACCCATGCTTGACACATGATTGGATATGTCTAATTAGGAAAAGAAACCTAACTAAAAACCCCCTTTCACTTTTTAAAATATAACAAAGAGCAGAAGTAGCCACTGCCTTGTGCTTTTGCTCTTAGTTACCTTATTCCCTATATTTTGTTCCTTTGTCTTGTTTCTTATTTGTTTACTGCCTTGTCTCCTGTGTGTTGATTGTTGTTGGGTTTTTTGGATTGTTTGGGTTTTTTGGCTTTTGTTTGTTTGTTTTTATGGGTTTTTAAATTTTTTTTTGGCCATGTAGTTTACCCTTTTTTCCCTCTCTCTACACATACCTTGCTCCTGCTTGTTGGTTTTTATACTTGCTGCTCAGCTCTTCCTGCCCTTGGTGTTCCTCTGGTGTGGAGTGATCTCCTGGATCTCCCCAGATCCAGTGCAGTTGATCACCACCAAATTAATCTTACATAGAAACCCACCACAGGGGCAGATAGGCAATTCCTGGGTTGGTTTCCAGCTCTTTGTACCTGCTGTTGAGATCTTGGCTTTGAAGAGCCAGGACCAGAGCAAGAGCTGTGCATGCTGCACTTTGGAATTCTTTATGGCAGAGAGAAGGAGAACCTAAAATATTTGATGTAAATGGCAAGGAAGAAAAAGCACAACAAAATGGAAAATAAATTGGTGCCTGTTAGCCTTTGTTTGCTTCAGACAAGCATTTGAGTTGATTTTTTTCATACTGGTTTACCTGTAACCTGTCCCATTCCTCAGTGGGTGCTCACTGCAGCTTTGCCCTGTGTATATCACAACTACCACAACTATTTACCCTGGATTTTTGTTTGACTGCAGCTATCCATGTTGCTGCCTGCAGCAGAATACCCTAGAGGTTCCCCATCTGAATAAGCTTTCTTTTCCAATTCTGTGCAGGTAATATTAATGTAAAAAGAGTTGAGGATTTTTTTATAAAAATTCATTTTCTGTATTACTTTAAAATACTCCTTTATGAAGAGCATTGCCAAAAGTATGTAATTTGTATTTTGCCTATTATCTTTCTTAATCTGGTTCTCCTGACACAACTTTGCAATTTTCTTTCTTACTGAACTGAATCTACATTATTTATTGTGACTCTTGTGAGATCTCAGGTCCAGATCTTTTTCTTTGATCATCTGATATTTTTTTCAGTGCTGCAGAATACTTTTGTCACTGTTACATTCAGTGAAGTCATTTGACCTTTGCATAGTAGGTGTTTGAACATTAAGTAGTCTGCTGGGAGACACACAGTAAATGCTGGATTCTTTCCTTTATGATCTTTTAAATTGCATTTAAAATATGAACTCAGAAATACTAATTTCTTTCAAAGCAAAATAGTCATTGATGCTGGATATAAACCCTCTATTCAGCTGATAGTTCACTTCAGCTGTGTGATGGCTGCCAGTGGGAGGCTCCAAAACACTGGTATAACTAAAAACTTTTTTTTAAGGACTGTTCTCAGTTTTAGATGGTAAAAAACATCTTAGTACATATGCTTCTGAAAAAGGGTTACTTCTTTCCTAGATACACTTTTGTTCCTTAAAAAATACAACTGACTTAAACTCTTTAAACCATTTTCATGCTAAAATGAATGCAACTTAGAGAATATTAGAGATTTTATTAGTTTGTTCTAAGGAAAAAGTTATGTATATGAAAGACCTGTAGACCATTGCTGTGTAATATGAATTGGCTGCTTGTGGCACAAATTTGCAAGACTGATTCTTGGCAAGTATTAGTTTAAAGTCTCTTTTGTGTGTTTATTGCACTGCAGTTACTTTCACAGGTGACTTCTGTTTTTAGTGGCATTTTGGGAGCATAGCTTACAGGGTGCTGTGTATTGGGCATTATCATCACATTGACACAATGGGATTTGATTTTTGTACATGATCTTTTTGTTTTGGACATAAATTCCAAGAGTAGGTCACACACACTGGGAAAAGAGGGCAGGCTCACTGCAGGGGATTACACTGCCAGCAGTCCCCAACATCCTGCATGCCAGGCAAGGTCCTAACAGGGCAAAGCTTTTTTAAGCATGTGTTTAAGGCCAGTGTGTACTTAAAGACTTTGATATATAGGAATTGGGGGCTGAACAGAGCAAAGAGAGGCTCATGCTGAAATAAACCTAGCTATATTTGTTGATGGTTTGTTTCTTCAGTGACCTACATTTTTTATCCAATATTACTCTGTTTAATTTAGATGGGTGTTTTTTTTCATAACCAGCTGGTCAGATCTGTTCAGATAACTGAAACAAACTCAATTAGTACAGCCCTGGTAATTCAGTGCTTTAGCAGGAGGTAAGACTATAAGGAAATAAATACAAGACATTTTCGTTGCACGTTGTGTCTCTGGTGTCTCACTCTGCTGAATGGTGAGGAGTGGGAGAGCATCTGCTCAGGGTTCAGGTTGTCTAGGGGGACTGTCTGTCAGCTACAAAAGGGTAAGAGATTCCTAGAACAGTTTTGGGTGTTCTCCCTTGCTGGTTCTGGGGAGTTTTCCTGCTAGCCTTGTGTGGGCCTGTGTGTTGGAGACCTCTGGTCACCAGGGCTGTCCCTCCTCCCCTGGAGCCCCCCAGTGCCTTACAGGAAATTGAATCAAAGCTCACAGGACATTTTATTTACAGTTTGACTCCCTCTGTGCATGTTGGGTGCACCCAAGAATGGAGGATGTGAATTTGCATTCTTAAGCAGCAGTAGTGCCAGATAAATCAAACAATATCAGTGAGGATAAAGCCTTGGAAGTTAGGGGTAGCAGTAAGAGTGTACTATATATAAAAGCTTTAAATATTACTTAGTACTAATTAGGTCATCCTTTTTGTCTTAGTAGTTTTGTTAAATTTGCTTTTTAAAAGAGAATGAGTGAAAAAAATGTTTGCTTCTGTGGAATAGAGAAATGCCCAGCCACAGTAGATTAATTTCTTGGTTAAAATTTATTTAATTGAAAGGAATAATTGAAGGGTGACTGTACTGAATTTTAAATGTACTTTAGCTGACATAGCTGTAGAAAGCCCTGTTTTGGGGATACATTTCTGTTTGCTTAGCTTTTGATATAGATGCAAATTGTTCAGCACTGTGATTGGTTGAAATGTATTTGGTAAAATTTGGGACAGTCACTCATGTCAAATGTTACTTTTTCATCAAATATTGATCGTGTCGTCTTGAATAATATTTGAGTTGCAGTAGGTCTTTAATTTGCTGTGCATTTTTGTGCCATTCAAAGTATTTAGTTAGTTCCAAAATAGTTAATAAATAGAGTGAAGTTTATAGAATTGCCAAGTATGTTTTTAATTGTTTTAAATTCATTGCAGTTCATTAAACCAGGTAATACAGATAATGGGAAACACTTCACACATGTGTTTGTGTGTAAAAATGTGAAGAAATAGTGAAGTAGATTAAAGGATATGCACGCCAAATTCCATTAAAATAAAAGAAATTAGCTTTTTAAGTATGTCACAGTTTAGCACAACAATAATGCAATTGTACTTTTTTTCTCCTACAATTATCTTGCTTAAGGTACTTCATAATATTTCTGTTCTCCTCAAGGCAAGACTGTATTGTCTCAGAATTCAAAGAGGGAATAAAGATTCTTTTTGTGAATATGGGATTATATCTTTTACGTGTTTGTGATGATATAAATTACATTTCTTCTCTATATCAGTAATCGCATTAATTCTTTAAGATGGGAAATTTTTCATTACAATAGTCCCTGTGGTAGTTACTATAGAAAGAAATTAAATAGATTTTTCTTGTAAATATTTGTGGATTAATTCAGTATGCTAGGTATTCCAAGTGTCTAAACATTTTAAAAGGTGGGAAATTAAAGCATGCACACAGAACTAGGAGTGGTTTTATTGTGTTAAAAATTTATCAGATAAAAAAAAAATCCCACTTAAAGGAGAATTGTTGAACTACTTAGCAATTGTGTCTTCAGTATATGTAAGAATACCCTTGCAGTGTCACGCTGCAAATGAATTCATGAAATGAAAATACTGATTACATTAACATACAGTATTGTGATAGTCCCCAATTGTAAATTGCAGTGTGTAACCCCTAATACAAATATTTGTGTCAATCAAAATTGACCGATAGCTCAGGATACAGGGTTTAAAAGATACCATTGTTTTAATGAGATGATCCGGGTGGATGAGGACCAGTTTGAATTTGTTCCTTATCAGCATTTCCAGAAAAAAAGGTTTTGTCTCCAAAACACATGATAGGAAGGCTTTCCATTTCCCATCTGTGAATGAGTGAGGCCTTTAGAGGTTTTAATGTTTTATCCAAGGGTAAAAATATCTTCCCTGATATTCTAAATAATGTAACACTGACTCGTCTACTCACAGTTTTTGGGGTTGAGAACAAAAAGTGCAGGCAGTGCTGCAAAAAGATTCAGCTTTTGCTTTTCTGTATTAAAAAAATTACATTTTTCTGCTCTTTTTCTGCACAGCAGAGAATTCTGTTCCACTGTGCTTTTAAACTTTTTTTTTTTACAATTTTTTGCGATTATCACTTCTTAGTTGGATAACCTCCCTCAGTTCCTTCCTTACCCTTGTTAAGTTAGGAGCTGATTCGATGCAGTGCTAAGTGCTCTAAATTTGCTCTGCAGTTCCCTGGAGGTGTTTGGCTTCTCACAGGACCACAGTCTGGGTATTTTAACCAGAACACAGTGGAACAAAGTAAGGAGAATAGACTCCTTTCTGTAAGTTACATACTGTGATTCAAATAAGCCCTTACCTTTTTTATGATTCTTACTGGGCAAGAGAGGAGTTGTCTGAATGCCACCCTCCTTCATTTAGGAGGAATTTAAATGTCTTCAGATAATTCTAGCAATTACATAGGTGTGT